ACAAATCATATCAATTAGATAAGCATCAAAGAAAAAGGTAAAAAAAAATATGCCTATGGTACTAATGGATACTGCAGAATAAATCTGATGTTATTTGTCTCTACTCTTTACTATTTATTTATTCTGTTAGTTGTTTTTATATCCACTTGAACTCCTGTTAGTTTGTCTCATTTACCTACTCTACTAAATTGGGTTCATTTGAAAGATGCAATCTCAGTAAAAGTGCTGTTGCCTAGTGTTTAGTTGGGTTTACTAAAACTTAATACTGTGAGACTTAAAGGTAAAAAATAAAGCTGTTGACTCAGCACAGATTAAAACCAGATGTCTCTTGAGATCTTGCATTTCTCTCTAATCACTAACCCAAATTGACTGTGGTAGGTTTTTTTCCTGATCATGACCATAGTTTTACCAGTCTGTGTTTGGTGTGATGTAAGTCAACTGCAGGTTCCCCCCCCCCTTGTGATTTTAAATGCATGGGGGTTTTTTTCCCAGGAATGTCTGGCTACAAAACCACTTTTTTTCCTTTTTTTTTTTCCTTTTTTTTTTTTCTCCCCACCCCCTGCTCCACATTTGTATTACAAACAGTTGATTTAGATGCAGATTCTTTTTAATCTTCAAATCAGAAAAAAGGCTGGAAAAGTGGGTAAATGAGGTTTGGAAAACTATAGGTTGCAGAGATGTGAAGCCATTGCATTGTGTTCAGTCCATTAAAACAAGAAGAAATAGAAGAGATACTTTGATAAGTGTTCTGCTGGTGTTAACCTTGATGGCTATTATCGGGGGGATGATGCTATATCTATTTCATTGGCTTAAGCTTTTTTCATGCTGAGAGAAATCAATACTTTGAGTCGTTGGATGACAGAGGCATCACTTCAGAATTGACGGTGGCTGTCAGACGTTGTCATTGGTTGACTTTTGTTCGCTGTTGAGGTTTTAAGCTTTCATTTTTCTAAGTCTTATTCAGGAGTCTTTGTAAGATTTCCCTGGGTAGCATTTTTAGTCCAGACTTTAAACCTCAGGTCGGAGGTCAAGTGCAAAGATCTGTGAAAGCAGAGGATTGAGGAGCTCCTTCATTTACTAAAATATCCTTATTTGTAGGGAATTTGCATTAGTGGCAAGACTACGCATTATCTTACGGATGACTTTTCCTCTTAAATGACACCCTTTGAGACAGGTTGTTCACAAAGCAAGTAGCTTTTAGCCAAATTAGACAAAGGAACTGGCATATGTAAAAGTGTTCAGTGATCTCTGAGTTGAAGAATAAAAGTAAAAGGGTGCAATATTGCTTTTAAAAACCCTATGCTATTAAACTTTTTCATAAATCATTACATTGTAATTTTGGGACTGCAAAGGTGCACATGCAGATGGTACTGTGCAGAGGAAATCTTTTACTTGACATTTTTATAAAGATCAAAGATAAAATAGTTCTGAAAACACTAGATTAATCCTCCTCTTCACTGAAATACAGACAGGCAGAACAGACTAATTCACCTTGTCAGTATTTTGCAATAGTATTTCTGGAATCTTTCCTGCATACAGAATGTATTGTATTTTCATATCTATAACTTGCCTTTTGGATGACCTTGTGTTCCTTTAGAATTACTGTTCCTTAAAAATAAATCTTCAGATAACCTACATGTTCAAATAGCCTGCAGTTTTGTCCAAGCAGGGAACAGGAGAGAGGAAAAAACCCTGTTCTGCTCTGCGATAATGGCAAAGAGAAGGTTTCTGTTCCATCCTGGATGAAGGGGTAGAGAACAAGGGTCTTTCCTCTGCTCCGTGCTGTGTCAAAGGATTCTGCTTAACACACTTCCCCTTTGTAAAAATTTTTAACAGCCACTGAATTTAAGACTTTTTGTAGATAACCTGTGGAGTGTATATATGAAAATACATTTTTCTCCTTTCAACATTTTTTGTTTCGTCATGAGTGTTACTGCAGTACTTTTGTGATTATACTTTCATTACACGCTTGCCTAAACAGATAACAAAAATTATGTAGGCCAAAGAACTAATGGAAGGAAGGTTTGACGAATTCGTTTGCATGCAACTATATATCTAATTGTAAAACCATATTCAAGCATGATAGAATGCATATTGCAACAGCAAGAGATCAAACAATAAAGAAGAAATAAAACTATAAAAATACATTTTTGAGTTTGTGCACAAACAGAAATCAAGCTGAATTTTTATTTTACATAAATTGAATGATCAGGATTTAGTGTGAAGTATTAACATGGACCACTCTATATCCTGGTATTGCATCTCTGGTAGTAGTGAATCAGGTGAACCTGAAGGCATCTGGAAAATGAAAAAATACAGTAGAGAAAGGGAGACTTTTTGGTGCTTTCAGAACAGTCTAGTGATGACTGGCTACTTTGGGATGGGTCTCTTTCCATTTCTTTTGGTGGAGCCAGTCATCTTTCACTCCTGTATTAAAAATTATCTGAGAGAGGGAGGGGGAGAAATAACTTCTTTTTTGCTGAATATTTGGTATATATTGTGGGTAGGAACCACTGAACAATTGACAAGTCACCTGTATGATCAAAGAGAATTTTATTCTTGCAAAACTTTCGTAATGTTAGTAACTATACATGCGTGTGCCAGATATTCGGCAGAACTGTGGCTTCTTTCTGTTCATGTTTGTTAAAAATAAACAAATAAATAAATAATTAAAAAAAAAATATATATAGTAAAGAGTGTGCTATGGTTAAGAGTCCCTCCTGGAGTGATGTTATAATTTTATGGGATTGCTGCATGTGGGAGTCTCTCAGTTTTGGTGGGTAATTGAAAATTTCTATTCATATTAAATGCTGAGTTTGCTGAAAAGTGGAGTCCTGTACACTTCTGTTTTGTAACAGGCTGATTCTGTTTTCATGGAAGTTTTCAGGACAATGAAATACCATTTTTTCCCTCATTTGAATGTCACAGCTACACTTTGAAAATCTTTGTTGGTATTTAATGAAGGATGTGTTCAAAATTACATCATAAAGAGACTTTTTTTTAAAGAGGTACAAGTTCATTATATCTTTTACAAAACATTCTATCCATTTTATCATGTTTTAAGGTCAAATGTGACTTTAATGTTCCATAAAGAGACAGAGATTGATAATGGGGAAAGAATAACCCTCTAATGTGATTTATATCTATGGATTTTATGTCAGATATGAAAAGTTGCTGTTCAAATTGTAAAGGAGGATCCATTAAAGAGCACTTTAAAACATTTTACTACTTAGCTTACCTTATACACTTGTTTTTAGAAGTCTGCCCTTTCAGGCAACTTAAAAATAACAGCTTATGAAACATTTACAAAGTGCTGAAAAGAACTCAGAATCATCATGGGTGCAAAATAGATTAATGTATTGAAAAAGACAGCTATATTTAAAAAGCGCTAGAAAAATCTTTTTTAGTGTTGGTTATAATTTAGCCATCTTATATTTTTGTGAAGAGGGGTGGCAAAGTGCTTCATATAGGAGTACAAAAGCCAATTTTTGATGTCTCATTGACTTGGAAAGTCAGCTGCTCGTTCTTCACTCCTTCTGGATGTCTGTTCATCAGGTGAGAATTGCTCTAAGGTGTGGAAAAAATTATGAGGAAATTTATAAATATATTAAAATTGTTAAAATAGCTTTTTAAAATTTATTCATCTTTTAGTACATTTTTGTTATCTAATGTCTATGAAAATCTACGCAACCCCAAATTTTACTTGTTTTTTTCACATTCTTCCTATCTTTCTCTCAGTTTATGACATATATATTTGTATATACACATATATAAATAACATTCATAGCCTGCCTATTTTTTTATTTGCAGCAGTTTTCTAGTGCTTGTATGTATAGATTTATATAAAAAAGCATTGCTACTCTTAAACGTAAAAAGCATTATGATATTGTGCTGTTATCTAAGCTTGAAGAAATAATTGTACTAGTGTCTGCATCAGCTGTGCTTCACAAAGAAAAAGCAATTTTTTTTGTTGTTAGGCAGACATTTGTGTCCATTCTACTAACTAGATCATAGAATAATCCAATCATTGACAAAGGCTGAAATGCTTTGTCTGGCATATGCGATCTGTGGAATTGCCAGATGAAAACTGAAATTGGAAACAGGGAGTGCTAAAGTGGGGAAGAGCCTTTATTGTTTCTACCAATATTTGAATTTGTTGTGGGTCTTCATGTACAGTGGTTTGATGAGGGGGTGATCTAAATTTGGTGCCCATTTTTTGAGTTCTGTATTAACAGTCATTTTCAGAAGATCAACAAAACCCAAAATGATAAGAAAATATTGTAACAAAGAATCTTTCATAGTTTTGAGTTCTGTTTGTAGGTGTGACTTTCAGTTCTTACTTGCTAGTATTTGGTTTTGAGTACCTCTGCAAACAGAAGATGTTTATACAAGTATAGTACAGCTAGGAAAATGATTAACTTTCCCATGCTGGCCTGCAAATATGCTCAACTTCAAGAAGCCATCTGGTAAAGGTCAATTCAGTCTTCATATGCATTTTGTCTTCTGTCTATCTGAAGATATGTAGATTTTTCTCCTTAGTTTTTATAGTTATATATTTATACAAAGAACAGCAAATGGTTGGCTACCCAAATCTAATGGAGAGTCACGGGAATGGAGTGGTCAGCTAGCTGGCATTCATTATTCTGAAACTTGCCTCTTTGTTTTTATAACGCTATTCGTTTACTTTGTTATAAAATAAAAGTGGTTGTGCCTATACATTTTATTATGCAATCAGGCCACTAATGGTTGGCATTTGCTAAATCTTGAGTGTGTATGCTATGTGGTTAAAGAATTCATGACAAACCAAGATCCTCTGCTTGGCTCTCTGGACAGATTTACTATGGGCAGCTGCACAATGCCTCAATTCTCAAGGCTGTAAAATGGGGTTAATTCTTATTTCTCAAGGGTTTTGTATAAGTAATTAATTATGAAGTGCTTCAAAGTTCCTTTGCATGGTATAATTAAAATGCAAAGTAATGAAGTCTTTATTTTCTTCCTAGTCACTGTGTGCCCAGTATTCTGCAGACAAACGGGAAGAAGAAAAAATGTGTCATCATTTGATAATGGCAGCTAAGTACCGAGACCAAGTGACTGCAACTCAACTAATACAGAAAATTATCAACATTCTGACAGACAAGCATGGAGCCTGGGGAAGCTCTGCACCAAGGTAAAGCATTTTTGGGGTGTTTTTAAATATTTTTGAGAATTGGGCTGTGCTCAGCTATGCTCAAGTGATTTGAATTAACGTCTTATGGTCACATTTAAAGGTAAACAAGGTTTTTCAGGTGTTCTTTTTTTTAAAAAAAACCAAAGTAGTATAAAAAAAGGTAAAATGAATGTCTCAGGGTTTAGTATGGGTGAATTGCAGAGAATCAGTGTTTTGTTAGAGCAGTAAAAAACCCAGGGTGATTCTCTTGTGACTTTAAACTTTGCTGTAACAATGTGATAGAATTTATTTTGAATGTCCAGTTCTACCCCTATCATTTATTTGAAGAATAATTTTTAAAAGTAAATATTTGCTTACAACTAGCTTTCTTCATGGTGCATTATATGGTGCAAGATTGAACCACAATTTAGTAACTTGTTTTCTTTTCTGCCAAACTTCAAACAAATATTTTTTTAAGGTAGAGGGAAATTATGATTTTTTTTATTGGTAATTTCAAGGTGAAAACAGTACCGCCAAATTAATTCTCCTTTTGGAATTCTCAGTATGTACCTTCATTACAATTATACTTGTCTTAACTTCTTTAACACAAGTCACAGCTAAATTTTCACTTGCAAATCTAAAATACAAGTTCATGTCCTTGTAGTACATCCTTAATTAAGGCTTAAGAATAACTGGAACATATTTAGGCTAAAACATAGCCATGTTGAATATGCTAGTATATTGAGATACTGTTATTTGAATGCAATGGAAAAATAAGCATGCGAGAAATACGTGAGTAGAAAACAAACTGTGTTTCCCAGTAACCTTTATTCATTGTTCAATTACTGCTTGTTTTCTGGAAAGAAAAAAAAAATTCCCAAGCACTAATAATTTCTATAACGTGCAGTAGCATAAAGAAAATGTTATGAATAAAATTAACAGGAAGTGTTAAAATTAAGAGTTGTGATATTATGATATAGAATGTCCGTTTACCGTAAATACCAGTCCTGGGCTCCAGGTTATAAGGTTAAAAATGAAAAGTTGAAATAAGTGTTTAATGCTGTTTTTCTTTTGTTAAGTAAATTATGCTTAAATATAAAAAAAGACTGTTTAAAAAAAAAAAGATGAGGGTGTAAAATCAACAGTCTATTTCAACATTTCTAGGGATTTTTAATTACTTAATTCCATACCATTTTAAAGTAAGGCTTGTATTACAATTGTCTAAACCCAGATTTCTTTAAGTACTTTGTGTGTCTGTAATTTTGGTGAGTGTGTACCTTGTGGCTTTGTCCATCTGTTTGTCTCTCTGGATTTAAAAATATCATTACCATCTTTTAACTAAGAAGCAGAGAATCCTACTCGCTCTTTAGGTGTGTTTTGCTTGTTGTGATAATATTGGTATAGTTGGTGAGGGAAAAGTGTAATTGATAAAATATTCCATGCCTGAAGGATAACTATTTTCTGATAATCCTCAAATAAGGTTTATGTAATCAGCTTGTAAATTACAAAGTACACAAAATATGGACATGATAATTTCCATTTTATAATAATGATCTACAGCAAAATGGAAATATCACATAATGCACTTTGCAGCACGCTTAACATAATTCTAGAAACTAAAATGGCATTAGAGACAGAACAAAATCTCTTTATGGGAAAGGCAGAATGCATTTAGTCATCATAAACACGTAAAAAATAAATGTATGCAATGATTGTAATTCTAATGAAATATTTTAGTAAGGGGGCTAAATTAATGTTTTCTGGCATATGTTTTATTTTGCTTCAAAATATTATATTAGTTTTTCTCATGTAAATTTAATATTTTTTAATATTTGGTTTGTGGTATTTTTGTTTTTCCTCCTCCTTTGGAATCCATATAATTGCTTGTAGCCATGGCTCTGAAGGCCTAATACTTTCCCATTAATGTCATTTATTTTGTTTCAATATTGATGGCTTTTCTAATGCCATACGATCAGTGGGCTGCAGTGCTGGCAGCTGGCCTGGGATCGGCAGTGGTTTTAATAAATCACAATCAGACCCATGCCATTACATCAATATTTTTAGTCAATTATAGAGAAGGTCAGGTGCTACATTCAGTATAGGAGCCCCAGCATGTGGCATTTGAGAAACATCTGGTACTGCAACAAAACTGCAAGCCGGGGAAAAAAAGAATCCAATTTATCCTATCTAAAGAGACCAAATGAAATCTGCTGCTTTATGGATAACACAATGATGATTATAGCCATTTTGAACATGTTATACTTGCTAGACTTAATACCCTTTATATAGACATATTCCCAAAAGTTTCCATTCAATAAAAACTGAAAATGAAAATATTATTTTCTCAGAAGCAGATGGGAATTGTTGTTTCCTCACAGCAGGCATCTAATATCTTTTGACACCTAGTGACCTGCCTGAATGCAATTTGTGTCTTAATATCCAGCTTACACCAGCTTTTGCCACATGAGAGAGAACAAGCAAGCTTTTTCCTCTACTTGAAGTCCTAGCTATTGCCTTGGCAAGCAAAGAAAGTATTCCTTTTTCAGGGCTCTGATATCTGTATGCCCTTTACTGTCATTGCATTTTTTTTCAAATGCTTAGAGATTTCAGGAAATAATGGGACAGACAAGTACCTGTTCATCCATACATTACTGTCACCTGGAGTGAGGCTCAGGTGAAAACTGAGAGTGCCTGATAAGAATGGTGGAATAAGCAAGAAAGAGGCCACAAATGAACAGAGTGGCAGAAGTAATTTTTTTCTGGTGCATAGAGCAGGCATTGTGTTTATTTGGGTCAGGAGACAAATCATCTTTCATGTAGATGACACCTGGTAAAGTGGCTGAATGTAAGAAGGATGAGGAGAGATGATGGAGAACACTGGATGGAAGTCTCAGAGGACATACTACCCTTTTCTCATATCGTCCTTCATTGCATTCTAATAGGCTGACTAATGTACCATGGAAATTCACTCTTGGTATTAGCGGGGAAAAGGGTGGTACTCTTCTCAGAAAAATGCATAGGTAGAACTGCAGACATAAATTATTTTAGAAGCAATAAGGTTTAGGAATTTTTAAGAGAACCTCTGTATATCAAGATTCCTGAATGCTTTTGATTAGTTTGGGAGACTGAGTTTAGGCTCAGGTTTCGGTTGCTTAAGAAACTCTGTTTCAGATTGGTTGAATGTGTTCTAATGGATGCCCTCGAGCAAGAGGCGTCTCTGCCTTAGAGACATTCATCTTTTTTCCTGTGTCACAGGCTTGCTGGTAAAATCTTTGTGATGCTCTCTCCAATTTTTCTTCAGTAAATCAAATCTTCCTTCTTTCAGAAAGATGAATGCTGTAAGGTTGGGGTGTTATAAAAAAAAATCAATGCAGACAAAATTGAAACAGTATGCCTCGGTATTGATTGGCCTTGTGAAATCGAAACTAACAGCTTTGTAACTGTTCCAGTGGACAGTTAGCTGACCTGTAATGGACAAACTATCAATATTAGCATTACTGTTTTATCTTGTAGTATGTCATTTTAGAATCTAGAGTCCAAGGAAAGAGAGGGGTTGAACTGAATTTTTAATGTTCCTTATAAGAGCTTATTTTATTCTCGTCCTCCCTGCAGTTGTTTGCAGATGACAATTACTAATGTATTCGGGGGGGGGGGGGGGGTGTCTGAAATTTGTATTACTTTCAGTGGCTGCAATAATTTTTCACCTGTTCTCTTTGAAATTTGCTATCAATTTCGTTTTCAAATAATGGTTGATTTTTATTGGAAGAAACAGTGCTAGAAAATGGCGTTAATAGGTTTCCTGAGGTTTTAATTGCATAAAAATTCAGGTGAGATGTTCTGGAGCATTTTATCTTTTGGGTGTCTGAAATTTGTATTACTTTCAGTGGCTGCAATAATTTTTCACCTGTTCTCTTTGAAATTTGCTATCAATTTCGTTTTCAAATAATGGTTGATTTTTATTGGAAGAAACAGTGCTAGAAAATGGCGTTAATAGGTTTCCTGAGGTTTTAATTGCATAAAAATTCAGGTGAGATGTTCTGGAGCATTTTATCTTTTTTTCTCCCTTGAAATAAATTCTAGTGTTGGATGTGTTTTAAAAAATAAATGTTGAGTATGCTCAACAGTGTCTCAGACCATTATCTTGTGACATAGGCATTAATACATAGAATTTTAAAATTCTGTATCCTGAGACTAAATGTGACCTGATGAAGATATATAATTTTTCATCAGTCTTAATTTCTTCAAGTGCTTTTATTCTGACTCCTAACCCACCCTGGGGATTTTGCATTTGACAACAGTGTAAAACAACATTCATTGCTCTCTGTGGAGCTTTAGTGATGCTAAGAAATTCTTCATAGCCAGAATTGACAATAACATAGCAAGATGACTTAATAAACCTTAGCATGTTCCTATTTATGTTGTCCTTGAAAAGATATAAGACAACAGAAGTTGAAGCAAAAGGGGGGGCTGGGGGAAAGGCGGGCATAGGCAACCAGTGTAAAGGAAGTCAGGGATTTTTTTAATGGTTTCTTTGAAATCAGGATGAATACATGCTTCTGTTTAAATGTGGTACTTTAGTGCTCCTTTTCGTTAATATGTGGTTTCTACATTAAATTAAAAACAAACTGCTATGGATGGTGTAAAGTAAAGTTGCTTTCCACCATTACAGTGAGAGAACTTGTATATTTTAATGTGTTAAAATGCTAACCATTTTTGGGTAACTTCCAGTAAAGTTTCGATCATCTAGAGAGCTATAGCTTTACAAAATTGGTATTGATAAATAAGCACGTAAAAAGCATACACTTCAAAAGCTTTAGATCTCATGGGTTATGTGATTTCTCTCACCAGAAAGGCAGTGAAACTCCTTATTTTATCTCAATATTTGCCTGTGTTGGCGGAATCCAGATTGGGTGTGCCCATCTTCCATTGTGGCTTTTTCCAAAGAGGCAGCTTTTGAGATAGAGCTGAATTTGAGAGGGGTTTTATTATTAAATAAAAAGAAAAGGTTTGTTTTTTTTTTT